ATGTCAGGATACAATACGACAGCTCTATCAATAAACAATTGCAACTTGGCTTAAGATGCAGGAACAAGAGACCTTGATTTAAAAAAAAAAAAAGCAAAGCAATCCATACGCTGCACCCTCTCCATCAATGCTCCTCCAGTAATGAAGTCTTTGGTCTTATCTGTGACTGAAAGGAGCTTGAGGACTTTGCCCTTCATCCTGTGTTGTTACAGAGTCTCTTGTAGAAAAGGAAGATTGGCCTGTAGGCGTGGGCGTGTGAGGAAGAGCCAGGCGGCCGTGCTAGCAGATCAGACTTGAGCGGTCTTAATAAAGCTTTCCTCTATCCACCCCAGAGATCTCCTCACCCCAATTATATGCCTGACACCTCTATGCAGCCCACCCCCACCTCACCGTGCAGTTCGCAGCTCTGATCAAGGCTCTCCCTTTGCTGTGCTCAAAGCCCCAGAGGCCTGCGCAATATCAGGCTGCAAGTGATGTTTGCTTCACAGGCTGCTGCCTGTATTGCGTCAGGAATGTATCTTTTCTAGTTCTGACAAAAGACCATGACTGTTCAGCCACTGTAAACTTTAAACTAAAATAACTATCTTACTAAAAAAATGTCCCATTTCTTTCAACAATTTTGAGAACTCAGTCTGGCAAACTGATTTCATTAACACTTCATTACAACACTTCACATGTAGGAGTTTATATCTTAGCACCAAACCTAATCTCTGTCAATCATCTAACACAACAAATACACTCAGAGACCTGATGAGTGCCAGCCTGTGGAGGCATGCCTTGAACCGACACACTCAACAGGTCTGACAACTCTTCGCCATGACCATCGATTCAACCACAGATCGAATGCAAGTTCATATCAGTCATGCTCATGTGAAAAGTAAAGGTGAAAAAAAATACTTGTCAATATGTCTAACAGAAAATTACTCACCATTAATCAGTAACTGTTGAAGTTAATTTTATAAAAAGAAAAACAAGCAATTCACTGGTTTCATTTTCTCAAATGTGACTATTTGTAGGTTTTCTTAGTCTTTTATGACAGGAAAGTGAATAGTCTAGGTTTTTGGCTGCTGGTCAGACAAAACAAGCAATTTGCATATGGACCCTCAGACATCCTGATGGCAATGAATCCATCATCTCTAGCAGCAGGGCTGAAAAAATGCCTGACCAATAATTTTACTTGTCCTAAGCAAAACCACTGGATGGCCTACCTGCCTGTCAACCTAACTTCCTAATTGCATGCACTCAGTGCATGAGCCACGAGTCTCCCACAAGGCCAGGCAGGCAGACGTGCTACTGCTCTGTTATGATAGCCAAACCTAGCGAGCTATGACAGAGAAGGTGCCCACAGCAGCTTACGGTCACAAACAGAGACCGTTGTTACAGGCCAGGCCTTCCTCTTTAAGACATATGGCCTTACAGGTAATGTTGTTGCCAGAAGTTTCTACCTGCAGTATGAGAGATTGAAGACCACTGCATGGAACAGACTCCTTTTACTTGCAGTTAACTTTGCATCAAAGACCACTTGCAGTGTTCATGTTACCAAGACGGAATAAAGGCTGTGTTTTGAACGGTGTTAGTCGACCTCCTTCTTCACTTCTCCCTGCCAGAAAAGACCGGAGTTCTAAGGCTAGTTACCGGCTACAAGCCAGGGCTAAAGCAGCTTAGTCATGAACCAGAGGTCCCCAGCGATGGTTTGGGGCTGCAGATTTGCGTGGGTAGCACTGTATTCAATAAAGTTGGAAATAAAAAGATGTCGCTTGATGCAAGAACTAAGACCAGAATTAACAATAGTGTGGCTTTGGAATGATGGTGACAACTGAGAGAACAAAAGGGGCTGAAAAGTGACACTATGGTGGCCGTGTTTCTGCTGGACAGGCAATTATTGGGTTTGTTTTGTTTGGGGGGGCATTTGTTATTTTCCTGACATCTGCGAGTAGGAGTCAGGCTGTGCACTTTGCTGTGTGTGTTGTGTTTTGGAGGAGTGGTTTTGGAGAAAAGTCAGAACAAAAGGGTGGGGTTTCTTTTGTTGTCTGCTTTCAAAATCGAGCTTCATCTTGTTGGTTTTTTCAGGACCGCCAACCCTAACTTTAAGTTTTTGTAGAAAAACATTGCACAGCAACTGCAGGTATAAGGAGGTGGATGCTGACATCTCATGGTGACCAGATCAACGATGAAGCAAAGATGGAGTCTCAAGTTATGCTCATACTCAGCCACAATTTCTTCATGTGTTTTGAACTGTATGAAGATCAGAACAGGTAAACTATGAAAAACAACACTTGGATAATTCCATCATGTTTCAGTAAAGATGCACCAAGTGGAACCAGAATAACATGACCATTGTGCAACACCAAATTCTCAAACTGTACAGATTGATGGGTTACAGAAACATTTTGTAATTACTAAAAGCTTTGAGTTCCTCTTGTTTACATGCCATGGTTCACTTGGCAACAGTGTGAACCAAAACAAACCAAATTAGGAGGTGCCAAAAAGGTCAACTTCTCTGACAAGGTACACACCAAAGAAAATTATCTGTATGTGTAATACCCTAATGAAATACACCAATATCTACAGGCATACTAACAAGTCTAACAACAAAACGGCTCAAGAGAAGCACATGACAAAACACAGCACTGCCACTCCTTTCGATCACCAATTGTTTAAGACATTTTTGCTGGCTTGTTACCTCCAGACGCTTTCAAGGTTACAGCAGGCCTGCAACTGGCCAGCCATCTGTTTCCAGTCATCCCTTGAGGCATCCTGTCATCAATGCTGTCCTCTACTGTCCACATCCGTGCTCACTAGGGAAATGCCCGGCCAGACACAACAGCTCCTCAGTGATTCTACAGGTTGCTGATGCATTTCTGCAGCCGTTTCCCCTTCGGCTACCTGACAATCTCACCTCACTGGGAAGGCTCAACCAGGTGTGTGTGCTTCATTAGTATTCCATGTACACACACACCAATCACCCACTACTGCAAGTAGGCACATTTATTTGTGTAGCCTGAAATCACAAGTTGGACTCTGGGCCTTTCCAGTGTGCACAAGATTTGACTTCATTAGATCCCTGAATCAGATAAGGAAAACCTAAAAGACAAAGACCTTTATCTGGAAAAAAATAGATAAAGCTTATAAGGAGCAACAGATGATTCCTCTTCCAGAGCTGACACACATTCAACAGAGAGCAAGTACAGAGAAGACAGATGTACTGTAGCAGAATTACAATGTAGATGAGTATAAACTACAACACAGAAAAACAAACTACTAAAAACCCAGAACAAAAGAATTACACTTTACAACCAAACACTGTAAAGTTGCATAGCAGCAGATTTATAATTTAGCACCAAGAAGTTCATATATCAACCAAATAATGTATAACATTTTACACTGTGGAGCTAAGACCACTTGTCATCTATAATATTAAATAATAATGACTTAATATTCAACTAAGTTTAAGCTCAGAAACATTTATCCTTATGTATTATTTTGATTAACTATCCTGTTTCACCAGTACATGATAGCGTTAGCCGACTAACAGTCAGTGTGTCAGTCCAGTAGACCACTCTAGTTACTGTTAATGTGACATAAAGCACTAATGTTACACAAAGCTCAAAATACTCCCATCCTAAAATCGTATTAATTCAATACAAAGGTAAAATCATGATCATGCCAGGTAGTGTATCACAACAAACGCATTAGCTTTAGATGCTAACACATCCAGAAGGAAGAACACCACATCTAAATCCAGTCTGAGACCTTTGGCTGCTTTTAACCCTCTCCATGTCAAACAGCCAAACTGATGTTAACCCTGGTTGTTGCTCTTTCTTTGTCCCACTCTCTTTGTGCAAAAGACACCACCTCTTCACTCTCTTCACTCACTGGTTCAGACTTTTAGCTGCCCAGAGCTCCTCCATGGCTGTTTGACATGACTACTGGTGACTGGAAAAACCCTCCCTCTAACCTTGGATAGGTAGCAGGCAGGGCTAATTTACAGATCGTAGTTTGACAAAACAGGGTAAAGAAGCTAAAGAAGCTGGAATAATAACAGAACGGCTGTAGGCAGCAGAGGGTCATGGGGGGGGGGAGGTGTAGCTGAGAGACACCACGTACTGGCCCATTTTATCATACAAGGTGTGAAATCTTAGTTAATTCCCCTTTAACAGTACAGTGAGTACACATTCACTACTCAACTCCACAGTGGCCCTTAGAGCTCAACACACTGAGACATAAAACACAGGCAAATAGACAAAACAAGCAAATGACAAAAACATCACCAAATTGACAACACATGCAGAGTGTTTAGGAAAAAAGCAGCAGAGAAAACACTCAAATACAGTAACACAAAGACAACAACTGAAACTTTTCCAGGGAACACTAAATATGATACAGCTGCAACATGTTGGCACACATATTGTTACCATGGTGACTCAAAGTTGAAGCTGACTTTACAACAGTGGTGTTGGACAATGAAGTAACATGTTTATCTTTATTTAAATAACCCTGATCACATGATTCCAATATTATTCCAGATATCTGCTGGAAGCGTTTCATTGACTTGTTTGATTTTCATTTCTGTATTTGGTTATGTTATTTCCAAATTGATGTAGATGTTTTCATTTGCTTGTGTTTTGTCTATTTTTGTTTGTTGCAGTTCGCAAAGCTCTCAGAGCCATTGTACAACTCAGTCAAATCATTACAATGCATTTACAGTCACACTGAGCAGCTGACCTTAAACCACATTTGTCCTTGATTTGAACAAAAAAAAAAAAAAAAAAACTTTGTTGAAGTGTGCCAAATATTTAAAAGCTAATTCTTGACATCTGATTAAATGAGTAGATCTACAGAGGTGTCCTGAAGCCTTACTCTGTCACAGCACATTCAATTCAATTGAAACATTACATGTGAAAGATCAGTGAACAGAGACTCCAGTCCTTCCCAAATCAAATTGTTCTTCAACCTCTAATTACTCAGGACCCACTTTAAAAAGAAACAGGATTCCCTACCGTTCACTCTGTCTGCCTGCAGCGATGCACCCAGCAGGTAGGTACAGTACACCAGGCTGGTACGAGCTTCAGAGAGCGGCTGTCGAGTGTATCTGTGAATGAAAACAAGGGATGACTATTACATCTGTGTCTGTCTGAGACATAATGCAAGACAGCTTACAGTGATGCAACCTAAGCCTCTATGATCACTCAGAGCAGTCATGTTGTATTTGTAAAGTCCAGACTCTGGGTGTCCACAACAGACTATTAATGCTGGATATATTACTAATGCCAAATGTGACATGAAAATGTGATCCGAGTTGCTGTGAACCCCGGAGATGGGACGGGACAGGGTTTGACAACAAGCTGCGTTTGCAATAACTGAAGAAAATCTTCTGACAGATCCCAGAGCTCATACTAGCCATATCTGATGATGGCATCTCACTCACAATCTGCTCTGACAATCTGCTGCCAGGAGAACAGCTTCACCTTGTGCACACATCCAAACAGAGCTACATATGATCTTACAAAAGAAAACATGGCTTTTGCAAAGTAAGTTTTAGAACAACTGACAAGCTCACTGTGCTTGATCAGCAGTTTTCTCAGCTTCTGGGGAAGGTGACTCCTGAACATACACTACATAGCAAATGTAATAATGTGCTGCTGCATGCAGCCACTGCTGATTACTTTTCAATTAAACATTAAGCATAAAAAAGTATCAGAGGTTTAATCTCAGAATAGCAAATTTAAATTATGAAAGGCATCAGAATAAGCATTTGTACTTTTTGTAATTTTAAAAATTAATTAACTTGCCTGTTGCTCCTGAAAATCTTGGAGTTAGAAGCTTATCTGTGACTGAAACCGAACCGAGTTTCTATTATGCCTTTTGGAGACGCTGGAGAAAGTAATGACCTAGTTGGATCTTGCCCTGCACAAATACTAATTCTGACAAATGGTGATGATGGAGGCTTTGACCTCAAGCCCAGTACATTTAAAGTAGCAGAGCCAGGAGGACTTGCAGAGGCAGCATCCTCTGGATTAACAAGCACACCAGCTGACAGCCACATGCTGATGAAAGTTCACCTGAGGTTAAGGCAAAGCCTGCTTGCCAGCTTCTTTTTCTCATATTCTTTGTTTTGAAAAAAGACCACAAGCCCCAGAAGAAAACTCTGACTACTGTGCTGTGTTTTAGTAGCAGCCTATCCCAGGTAGTGTGATATCAATGGGCATGTGGTCATTATTTCCACAGTACTGTACAGAGTACAATGTTACACGGGATTGTGTTCCCCCATTAGGAACTCTTTAACAGATCCTCTCCTGGGATAAAACACCAAACATCAAAAGGCAGATAAGGCTGTTCAGTGATAAGGTAGTTCAAGTTCCCAGAATACAAACTGCCCCTAAATGAATCTAGATTCATTCAGTACGGTGAGTTTGTGCAGAAGCAAGAAGGGCTATAGTGACACAACCCAGGTGGCCATCTGCTTGAGTTGTGCCAACATGTCTTCCATCATTTTTGACTCCTGCAATTTAGGGGGCCAGAGCTGAGATGGACAAGTCAGGTTTTTACAATTCTCAAGTCAATACCAAACCAGAACTGCTCTGGGGCACAACCCAGGTTACATTCTGATGCACAAACAAAGCACTGAGGGAGGTTTGCATTTCACAGTGTGTGTTAACGTGTTCTGACCGATTGAAGACAAATGAAAAAGGAGAACTGGTTCCCTGACCGAAGTGCTCCAGTCCAGCCCAGGCTCACAATCAACTCCAGATGAAATGCATAAACACTGCTCTTCAATGTGAACAACCTCAAAACCACAACTGAAGGAGTAATCAAATCAATGCTTGGGCTCTGGATCGTTGTACTGGATGTTTGTGTCACTTGTTTTCTTGTTCAGGCTACCACGAGCTCTCAGCCTATAATCTGCAAAATGAAATAAACGGACTCAGTGACTCCTTAAATCTCACAATGTGGAATGCCTTCTTCTGACTCAGTTAATAAATACAAGAGACAGTGGGATGGAAACCATACCTGACCTCACTAGTTGAGTCGACTGCAACAAAGCAAGAATACACAACACGTGTCCAGAGGAACACACTAAAGAAATGACTCATCCTGTGCAGAGCAGCCCTCACTAGCATGGGTATTTGAACATGCTAATAGTACCAGCTGGGTGTGGGGGGGTGAGTACAGGGTTCGGGAGAGATCTCACCCTGCACCTCCACACACAACCCCCCACCCCCACCCCACTCTGTTAATACTACCCTGGCAGCAGTGTGATTAATCTACTGAGTACACCGTAGGAAGATTTAGTCACTCATTATCCCAGATCAAAAACTCCAGGGTGCCTGATGTGGTCTGAAGACTGACATTACAAGCTTCTTGGCATCATC